ATTCAGCTTTGTTCGGGTATTTTCCCACGTCATTATAGTTGCACTTTAAAAGCACAACTATAATGACGTGGGAAAATACCCGAACAAAGCTGAATACCATACATATATATATATATATATAAAACTAGTTTCAGTATATTAAGTTCATGCTAAATGTGTACAATGCTTTGCCAAAAGAAATAAATGTAAATGTGGAACTTGAACAGTCTGACCCAAGGGATCAGCTTAACTTCTGAAACGCAAAGAACAACCTGAGCCATGCTGACCACAACATTCTTATCCTCTCTGCCAACTAGAGCAGAGGTGGCACAGTTGGCTTTTATTTGCTAAGAGATGACACAGACATGAGGAGACATCTCTCCATCCCCAGCTACAAGGGAATTGATTATGATGCTGGGCCACAACTTGGATTTAATGGTGATTCTGGACAGCCAACATGCTTCTTATATTTTAGTCTTCTCCCAGTCTGGTCCTCTCCTGCAGTACTGGATTACAGTCCTTAGCAATTCCAGACCGCATAGACCACAGTATTCAGATATTAAGGAAAATATAGCCTGATGCATCTTGAGGGTCTCATTTTGGCAAAGGCTATCGTGTATGATTCTTCTGATTGTTTAAATGTTCTTTTCTTTTTCATCATACCTTGCCATTTTAAATTTTACAAAGCAAGGTTGAGGGGAGTCTCAGTCCAAATCCAACAGAAAACCTAGGAAACCGCACACCCTCAAATAGAAAGAATAATGCAGAAATTATTACTCACAAATACCAATCAAGCACAACAAAACATCACTGAAATCTTATCTACTTAAAAACTGAGAACACTGTGTTTCTGGGACTGGAGGAATTTGCCAATTTTTATTCTTCTCAATACCTTGTTCCAGCCTTGAATTTATTTCATTCCATATCCAGATCAATATGTGCATGTTAAGGAAATTCACATGGATATTTCTGTAAACTGTTCTCTAATACTTCTACTTGTGTATCATTTTTTTAAACTTGAAAAATATAAAATAATATTGGGGGAAAGGTAAATTCCCACACAGTTCTGCAGTCTGGTTTGCATACAAATTCATGAAAACAGAATTCAGAAGAACGGTTTGCCCACTGTGCACACCTTCACCCTCATAACAAAGATGACACTTCTTACAGGTAT